TCTCCTCCTCACATTTCACAACCTCTCTATGGCATAAAAAATCTTGATTTCACTGCTCTTTGATTAAGCCAACTATATGTCATGGAGGACATATTTTTTGTCTGTGTTGAAGGTCATAGGTTTTATTGTTTTTATTGATGGAATCTATGTTTGCTTTGCACCCACCACTCTCAATGATAATGAACCTCTATTCTTAATCCATCATTTCCCTAATGGATTCCCACTTGACCATGTTCAGAGTGATTTAAAAACAGATCTCTGGGCTACTATCAATACCAAGCATACTCTTACCTCTCTCATAAACATAGTATATACTATAAGATAAAAGGATATGTTAAATCTTTGCACATAATACAGCTTTTTATATAGCTCATTTACTTGTTCACAGTGATGGGTAAAATACACATCCTTTTAGGAATGTCTAGCACTAATTCAACTTGGATACAGAATACAGAACACTATTCATGTCAGTAATATAGAGCGAAATGGAAGCATAACTTCCGTTGACAATCACAAACCTACAATAGTGACAGATTTTTACCAAACATATCTGGACAAGTGAAATCTTCCTATATTAAGCATAGACATCACAAAGGCTATTGCAAACAAGTTGAGAAAAGTTTAAACTGGAAACAGACTTGCCCCACTAAAATTAGATCTCACAAAACAAACAAACAAACAAACAAACAAACAAACAAACAAACAGACAGATAGAAGACAACAATTGAAGTAATCTTTATACCAAAATGAGCAAAAATACGACAGATAGAATTATTTAAGCTAGATGAATCCGAACTCCATCAGACAATCAAATGTTGACATACAAACACAAATGTGAAATTAGCAACCTAAAAACAAGCAATTTCAGCATGTTTATTGAGGATATAAGTAGTGGTGCATCAGCACCTATTGGTTCGAACTAAATAGAAAATTTTAAAATAAAACTAAGTGTCTATATATATTAAACTGGGTGTGATGTGTATATAAATAAAATTAAATGTGTGTTTATGTATTAAACCGTACAGCCATTATTTTTAAAGTCTGAATCCCAGACTAGAAATTAGGTATGAATTGCAAATCAAGATTCTGCTCAACAAAACTGAAAAAACATTAGAAAGTGAACTAAGCAGTTACCCTGACAATAGAAGTGATGTCACGGAGAGGAGTTCTTGGATACCAAGAAGGAAGAACACTGCGACGCCCGCGCCATCGTCCCCGGCCTCCCGGCGAAATGTTCTGACTACCAATCGCCCTGGCCGGAGTTCCACTCGAGTTTCGCCCACGACCGCCGCCGGCCGTTCTTACCGGCGTAGTCCGTAGGGGAACTGCGGCAGTGCTCGCTTCTGCTTCATCCTCAAAGATCTCAATGCCGCCTCTGCCAATTGACCTCCGTCGACGACTGTAGACATATATTGGATCTTCCAGCCTAGTTAATCTGTCTCTTCCCTCCGCCATTCTTACTAAATCTTCAACTCTAGTATTAAACCAACAGAAAATTATTATCAAATTAGTCGATTAACTACATTTTAACCGCAAATTAGCTATGATTAATGAGAATCATCTATCAAATGAATGTCAGTTTATAAAAAGAAAAGACAAAATTTCCATCAGCAGATCCATTTGATAGTAAATGAATAAATTTCATATTTTCAAAATGAAATGGAAATAATCTGAACAAGAATTACCTTGAAAATCTGCTGGGTTTTGTGTTAGGATTCTTGTTAAGGTTTGACTTTGCTTTGTAGGGGAAATGAGAAGAAAGATAGTGTAGAGATAGGCACATTGGCAAATTTTCAAAATGGATTTGGGCGGTACTTTATAATCAAAATGAAATTTTTCATAACTGAAAATTTAAAAATTTTGGAAAATGAGATAAAAGTTTAATGGTGAGCACGTGACGTGAGTTCAATCAGATTTCAAATTTTAATGGTGTGCACGTGAGTTTAATCAGATTTCAAATTTCGAATTTCGTTCAAAAACCGTTTTAATCATCAAATGGGCCTGGCCAAATGGGCTTTAGCTTCTGTTTCTCAGCTTATTAGGTCCATTTACTGAAGTTTAGTGAGCCCAGTCCAGGGCACTCAATGGACATCATTTCTTTTTTTTTTTTAAACACCTCCCAAATTAGGAGGATAATGGATATCATTTCAATTCTGCTCTCAGACTAGTAGCTATAACCGACAGTAATGGCACTGGTTTGTTACTTTTCAGTGGGGTAAGTGCAATTATACCTAATTTTAGGGACACCATTAAAGTTATACGCAAAAATTCGTAAAATTAACCCACTTCGGACCGCACGTCTGAATTCATCTCTGAAGTTACAAATTTAGGGTTTTATAAAATTTGAAATTCGTCAATCGCTTTAATGCAAATTCAGAATCACCACTGAAGTTTGCTTAAAGCAGTCCTAACTTCAGATCTATGGGATAAATACTTTATTTTCTTCTCCCGTAAACTATAGGTATTACTAATTAGCATTAACCATGCTCTCTCTAGCGGATTCAATTCGAATTTCTTTACCTTTAAGCAAAACTGTCTTATAACGCAAACAACGACTGGCAGAGTACAAAAAGAAGCAACGGGATGACGAGAAAGGAATAGACCCTCTTGGGTTCCTCAACAAATGCGACATAACCCATTAAGCTTTTCTGAAGGAAAGGAAGTGGAAGAAGCATTAAAAGCAGAAGAAATTTAAAGTGCCGCTACACTAGGTACCGATTTAACCTTCTTTTTTTAAATGTCGACATATTAAATAAAGGCGACCAAATAGGGCATATTTTTTTACCTTATCAGTTCTGTAATTGAAAAATAATTAAATTTTTACATGGTATAACTAATATCTACGGTATTTACCATCCACAACTACAGTTTGAAATAATTTACAATACATAGGTATTATTTTTATTTTATAGAAAATTTACCATTCATACACAATTTTCAGATATCTCATTCCTCCTCACAACCCTAAGAATCATCTTGTCTCCCAAAACTTTTTTGTCGTCGCCGCCAGACCGCCATCGTCAGAAATCGCCGTCGATCGACGGTATCCAAATGGTCCCAAATATTTACCATCTCTTGCTCTCTTCCTCTGCTACACGAATTCACAACCCATTTCTTTCAGTTCCTCGTAGATCTGAGTAAAAATAAGGAAACCTTAAACTTTATTTCTCCGATTTGCTAAGTTCCGACCACTTTCACCCCATGAAACATGCATGAAAGGATATATCTTGCGTGGATCTACTTTTTGACATTATTTTTATATCACACAATTGGACGAAATATTTTCCGGCGAGCCACCTTTGAAGCGCAAAAAATACATTTTAGTATAAATACAATGTATTATCGTACGTATTCTCTATTTTAAGTATAAATACAATGTATGTTTATTTTTTACGGAATTTCTAATTTATTTCTCAAATTTGGCCGGCTCAGATCTGGCCGGATTTGAGTGTATTTTTCTTTTTGGAATGTAAATACAGTTGATACAGCTTTCCCATTAAAACTTTATTCATTGATACAACCATTATGTATGAACAAATACTGATGATACATCTTTTTCATTAAAACTGTATTCATTTGATACAACCATTATGCACGAACAAATACAATTGATATAACTTTTCATCAAAATTATTTTTATTGACACAACCATTATGCGAGAATGAATACAACTGATACAGGTTTTCCATTAAAGCAATATTCATTGATACAGCTTGGCAACAAATTGATACATCGAAATTTGAGTTTGGTTGTATGCGTTTGATAAAGCGAAATTGATACATTAACTGCGGATGATAATTAGGCAAACTACATCACATGTGGTAATTATGCTCTAAACTATAGTGCTTTTTGAAAATTTCTCAAAAGTAATTGCTAACATGGATTTTAAGTATGACATTTTTAAATTAGAAAAATATCAAATTTACCCCTCTACTATGAGAAAAAGGATCAAGTTTACTTTCTGTTATATTTATGGTCTAAAAATATCCTCGATGTTATATAAGTGGATCAAATATACCCTTCCTTCATTATGTTTAGTAGTAATTGCTCATTATATTCTGTCAAACAAGCACACAAATATTGTTCTAATATTAAAAAGTCTAGAAAGTAAAGGTGGAGATGGTAAAAATAGTGGTGGTAATTGTGGCATTAGTGGTGGGGGTAGAAGAAGAAGTGAAGGTGAGGGGTAAATGGGTTGTGGCAGTGAGGTGGCATGCCATATGGGATTGAACGTCCATCTTGGACAACTAACGGAGGAGGGGTACATTTGATCTAATTGTAGAATATGAGGATATTTTCTGATAAAAGAAAGTATAATAGAGGGGGAACTTCATCCTTTTCTCATAAGAGAAGAATAAATTTGACCTTTTTCCCTTTTTAAATTACATGAACTAAAAAATTAAAGTGATTGTTTGTAAATTTTACTCCTATAACCGTCATTAAGCCTTTTTTGCTGATTATTCCGCTATTAAACAATTTGAGATGACATTATGAGTATCAGCATAAATTAGAAGTGATTCACTGAGCTGTCTTATAATTCTCCAATGGGAAAAAGTTATGCATATACGGAGTGGGGTATACACCAGATTAATAAAGAGGATTTTAAAAAATAATTATTGTTTGGAGGCTTATTGTTGGGCGTAGTTATAATTTAGTTGATTATATTTCGTAGCTACTATTTGCTTGTCACGGGATATATGTCATTATATTCAATTCGTTTGTATATACTATATTCAATTCGGATGTATTTCGTTCTTATATATTTTACATTGCATATATTCAAACAACAAAGAATCAAAAATAAAGTGATATTTAGTTGTATTCAATTCAATGTATTCATATGTAGTTATTTTTATAATGTATTCAATTCACTGTATTTAATTCGACTGTATTCAAACAATAAAAATTTAAAAAAACATGGATCTGCCATAAAAAATAACCTATGGAATACATAACTACATGCAAAAATATATAAAATATATTATATTTGCATTGAAAAATACAGAATACACTCAAATTTATTTGTACAGAATACAATGTATTTGTGTCATTGTATGTGACTCAATAGCGAATAAGAGAAAAAAGTTCACAGGAGATGGTATTTTCGACCAAGCAAAATACCATTACATTGTATTAAAATTAAAAATGAAGACGAACAAAATCCGGCTAGATCTGAGAATATACTATCATGTTGTATCTACCAAAATCCGGTCAGACGAATACACTTAGGTGTGAGATACAAAGAAGGAGAAAAAGCCATGGATTCTGACATCTCCGTTAGATCCAGATTTGTGAGAGGTATATATACTGTGAATAAAAAATCAGAGAGGGTCTGTTAGGAGAGAGAATTCTGTCATCGTGAAATCAGGGAATGTGAGAGGAGTAAGGAATATTTCCTAACCGAAAAGAAAATGTCAGATGCCCTTTTGCGTGTTGATTCTTTCCCTTATCCTCTTTTTCAAAATCATCTGGGTCAGGTGCACATGACCTGGGTCGGGCGCCTATGACCAAATGGTCCATAACAAGTCGACCCAACACAGATCAGCAAATCAATCAAAAAAAAAATAAAAAAAATACAACCAATCATAATTCCATTTTTCTTAAATAAATTAAAATCATTTTAATAATGCAACTAACATAATCAAACAGAACAAAAAGTTTAACACTTTAATCCTAATTTGAAAATTTTAAAAGATAAGAAGAGAAAAGAAGGAAAGAAAGCAAATACAAAGAAAATAAGAAATGGGGAAGAAAATACCTAAAAGCTTCCGCTCGAAGACCCAATCGACGGAAAAAATGGGAATTGAACTCATCATCAATTGATTGCTCTTATGAAGAGCAAACAACTGATGTTGATTTCGAATTCACAAGGCCAAGTCTCGAAAGAAAAATTCTGACGGTTCCAAGATCTAAAAATTGCGAAATTATGGGGTTTTTTGAAAGAAACTAAAATGAGATATAATATGAGGAGGAAGAGGAGATTATGAGGTGTGAATTTGAGGGAGATTAGAGTTGTTTGGGTGTAGCCGCCGACGAAGTAGGGTTGGAGATTTTTAGGGCGGCTAGTTTTAGAGGTAAGGGAGATGAAGAAGAAAAAGTGAAATAGATTTTAGGGTTTTAAGGGGGGGCTGTTTGGACAGGTTTAAGAGAAAGGGGTGGGGAGTTCGAGACCGTTGGATTAGATTAGATGAAGGGCTGGGATTGACTTAGTCCAAACAACATCGTTTTGGGTTTGGGGAGGCTGGACCGGGTAAAAGGGGAATTGGGGTGGGGCGAAAAAATGACTGGCCTCTTAGAGACAGGCCCAATCCGGCTTTGGAATACAAATTGGCCCCTTTTCTTTTCTTGCTCTCTTTTCTTTTTCTTAGATTTTGAAACTTAATTAAATTAAATAAAAATCCTAAACAAACTACTAAAATCCTTGAATTAGATTCTAAATTGTAGCATTAAATTAATTATCTATTTCTAACATCAAAATAATTAATTAATTTAAACTAATGAAAGGAAAATATTTTAAAACTAAAAGCTAAATATGTAAAAATGGCCATTATTTTCGTGATTTTTGTTTAGTAATACAATTAATTCATGTAATTAAATCTTAAATACAATTAAGACCTAAAATGCTATGCAATGAATATTTTAGATATTTTTTGGCGTTTTCCATGATCTTAGAATATTAAATGCGCAACTAAATGCAAACAACAAATAACAAAAAATTCCTAAAAATTCTATAAAAAACAAAAATAATTAGAAAAATCTACTTTTGTGAATTATGTAGGAATATTTTTAATCGGGCAAAAATCACATGCTCATAGAAGTTATCCCAAAACCTGCAAAAAATATCAAAGTTTCTCCTTCTGTCAAACCTTCAAAAAAGAAGAAAGTTTAAAAATAATCTAAAATCATACCTCAACAGTCATTGGAGAAGGTAAAATTTTAGTAGTTATAATTTTGGTTCTTTTTTTAAAGTTACAAAACATGTTCTCATTCTTAAGAATATTCATTTTTTTTTTGTATTTGTAGAAATTTTGTCTACATTGTGTATATTTGTTGTTGGTAATCAACTTTTCTATATTTTCCTTGAAATTGTAGATTTCTTGTATATTATTCGAAATCATTTTGTTAGGGAATGTACTACATGATTTAGTTAGTTTTATTGTTTATTATTCGCTCTATTTGTAGATGTTAGTTTCATTTTCTGTAAACAAATTGTATATATTATGTCTAGTTGTTACTTTCTAATTTCTTACTCTAAACATAATTTTATCAGTGCATTTGTAGCTTCAATGTAGTCAGTTATTCTATATATTTACTAATTTTGTAACTTGTTTGTATCCAATGTATTAATGTCTTTGTGACTGTAGCTAAATTGTAGTAGAATTGTATTTATTTTATTTTTTGGTCTTCAAACAAGTTTTATTACTAACTTACTGTTTCTTTTGGTGCAGAATCGAACATTACTTGAACTTTAAGTACATAATTTTTTACCATAATCGAATTTTCACCACTTTTTAATCTACATATTTTTAATCTACATATTTTTAGCTTTTGTTTTACCTTTTATAGATTTTTCTTAGAAAATTAAAACTCACAAAAGATTCACATTTTTGAATTACTAGCTTTGTTTTAATTTGCAAAAGAAAATAAATTCACAAAAATATGTTTTTCCTTCTAATTTTGGTAAGACTAGCAATTTTATAACCTTTTCCTTAATAGTTTCTCATATTTTTCAAGTTTTTAGTTTTAGTGAGTATCTTTAATTTTGATTATTATATACGGTCAAAAGCGGTTTCGATCTTCGTATGATTAGTCAAGATTGGAACATAATGGACCGAAGGTCATCTTTAAAATATCGAGATAAGATCCGAAGCCAGGGTACTGATCTCAAATTTCTGGGACCGATCGAATACCAAGCTCGAGTCCAAATCGAACTATGATGTGAAGCGGTGTCATCGAGCTTAAGAGCTAGAGACCGACTAATATCGAGCCCGAGTTGATACCGAGCCTCGAATTAATATCGAGCTCTAAATCTGTAAATCGACCAATACCAAATCCGATTAAGATCGAGCCAAGAGACAAGAGCCGTTACGGCCGCACTAAGGGAGAGAATCTCTGCGGGAATTAGGGAAAAGTTAATCTATCATGGGATCTCCATTATATATTTTTAATTATATCTAAAATAGGATCCTTCCACTATAAGAGGGATGACTATTATTTCTGGAAGGGGGAAGATCAAGGCATTCATACATTCTCATATCCAGAGAAGAAAACATTGATACATTCACATTCTAAAGATTATTACATAGATATACAGTTGAGATTATCCCTTTTTGAGCTTGGACATTGATTCATCTTGCTTGTTCGTAAATCACTCTCTACTCAATTCGGTTTGTATTTCATTCCTTTTTTACAGTCAATATTCGATATATATTTCTACTTACTTTTCTGATTTGTACCAAATTATAGTGCGTATCCTTAAAACTACGTATAAATTCAACTCTATCCATTTTATGGGTAAACGGATTGGCACCCACCGTAGGGCTAAGGATAACAGTGGTTATTTGGTACGAATCTCTACAAAACACATCATTTTACGCTTGCTCTTGGAAGTATCTTTGATTTCAGGTTTAAAATGACGAATTCTCAATTAATGGCCCTACCTATTGACAACGAAGATGGCCTTCAAGATGAGAACAACAACTTAACCCCCGAGAGTGCAAGGTCACTCGTCGATCCCGTTGGATATCGGTCGAAGAGCCAATAGACGTTAATTCACATGTGGCCATCGAGGCGAACCAACATTCTGATCCTGAAAATAACATTCATGGTGTAACTCGGTCTGCAGCTCGAAATACCTAAAACGAGGAGAACGGAATCAGCTTGCGTATGATTTTCGAAATGTTGCAAGCTCAACAAGTAGCAATAGCCCGATTACAGAGCCAAACCCAGGAACCGACCAGACTCGATCCCTGTCCACCCCAAGAAGTCACCCACAAAATGGGGCCATCCATAGTAAGCTCAAATGAGCAAGAATCGGGGACTAATCCCGAAATCGTTAAGATGTTCGAAGAACTGACAAAACGAAAAAGTCATGAGAAAGGAGGATCGAAGCAAACGACAAAAAAGTGAAAACGTATAACTCCAGGGTTGATCAGATCCCGGGGGCACCTCCGATATTGAAGGGCTTAGATTCCAAAAATATTGTACAAAAGCCTTTCCCCCCGAGCGCGGCTCCTAAAGCAATCCCAAAGAAGTTTCGCATGCCCGAAATGCCTAAGTATAATGGAACGACCGACCCCAACGAACATGTCACCTCTTACACATGTGCTATTAAAGGGAATGATCTAGAGGATGATGAGATCGAATCTGTATTATTGAAAACATTCGGTGAAACCCTGTCAAAGGGAGCAATGATATGGTATCATAATTTACCATCTAACTCTATCGATTCTTTTGCTATGCTTCCAAATTCTTTCGTAAAGGCACACGCCGGAGCCATAAAGGTCGAGATAAGAAAGTCGGACCTTTTCAAGGTAAGACAGAAGGACAACGAGATGCTGAGAGAGTTCGTATCTCATTTCCAAATGGAACGAATGGATCTACCACCGGTCACTGACGATTGGGCTGTACAAGCTTTCACTCAAGGATTGAACGAGTGGAGCTCGATGGCTTCACGACAGTTGAAGCAGAATTTGATTGAATACCCGACTATTACTTGGGCCGATGTACACAATCGATATCAATCGATCTGTGCTTGAAATGTATAAAAATGAGAAAAATCTCGGACTCTTCGATTTATACACTGCCCAGGGATTTTTGCTTCTATGGTGTACTTGACCGCGCCTGCGGTCTTGCTTCTGCATAACCAAATGCGCATCTGCGTTGCCTTCCGCTTCTGCGATCGATGGGTCCACTTCTGCGGACGCGCAGATACATTCAAGGTTTCGCACTTGCGGCTATTTTCCCAGCTTGCCCAGGCCGCTTCTGCGATGGATTTCTCGCTTCTGCATAGCCGCTTCAGCGGCCAAGGTTTCGCATAAGCAAAGGCACTAGAAGCATCAAAATTTCAGATTTTGCTTAAGTCCAATTTTTGTTCCGATTTTAATTCGAATCACACTCGGGGTACTCGGGACCCCGTTCGATTACACCAACAAGTCCCATAATATAATACAAAGTTACTCGAGGTCTCATATCACGTCAAACAATGCTTAAATTATAATTTTCATCTCGATTCGAATTTTTGAGTTTCAAACTTTTCAATTTGCAAAACTCGTGCCAAGACATAATAAACGAATCCGGAATGACTTCAAATTTGGCACATAAGTCATAAATGATATAACAGAGCTATTCAAATTCCTAAAATCTCAATCCGAGTCTGATATCAAAAGGTCAAAACCGTAGTCAAACTTTGGAAATCTTTAGCCTTTAAATTACTAGTTTCCATTAAATGGCCATAACGTGAGCTAGGGACCTCCAAATTAAATTCTGAGCATACGCCCAAGTCCCAAATCATGATACGGACCTACTGGAGCTGTCAAAATACTGATCCGAGTCCGTTTGCTCAAAATATTGACCAAAGTCAACTTAGTTGAATTTTAAGGTTCTATTTCATATTTTAATTAATTTTTCATATAAAAACTTTTCAAAAAATTATACGGATTGTGCACGCATGTCGAGAAATTATGAATAGTGTTGTTTGAGATCTCAGAACACATAAATAGTTATTAAATTTAAAGATAACATTTTGGATTCATCACATGTTATTTTAACTAAAAAAAGTCAAAGTGAAACCAAACCAATCTGATATTATATTTATATAATTTTTAAAAATATTTATTGTAATATAATTTATAAATATTTCTTAACATTGTTTACAATTTTATGTTTAAACATACTATTTAAAGTTTGGACTTAACATTCAATGGTCCAATAAATTTATAACGACCCGACTTGTCGTTTTGAAAATTAGCGTCACGTTCAGCGGCTTAAGGTCCCGAGCAGCTTCGTAATATGTATTATGACTTACGTGTTTGGTCGAGTTATTTTTCGGATGATTCGGGATTTAA